CCTTAGACAAGGCTAATGTACTCAAAGTTCCCTTCTAGCCATATTCAATGGATGAAGAGAGGGTGAAACTTAAGCTACAAGAAACTGAACCATCGGCAGATGATTTTACTGTATCACACTCAAGATTTTTTTAAAATTCTTATCCCTTCTTCAATTATCTGATTCATGTTATAGTATACGAAAGAAAGAGTTATATATTCCTTGCTTCACAGTATAAAATATCAAGAAAGGTGAAATACCCCAATACTTCAGTACATTCTAATCACTGTACTGCAGTTTAGCCAGACAGTTTCCATGTGGTTCCATGGATCTGCCTGCCCATCAGACACACTGAACATGACAAAGTCTTCATTGCACAAGAAGACAGTGTGGTTGCCAGGCCCTACACAATTATGGATGTATCAAAAATGCAATATGCTTGCTGCCTTGACTGAGTTCCTTAAATTTGTATAAAGTGGTCCCTCGGTTAACGAACACAATTTGTTCCAGAAGGTCGTTCGTTAACCGAAACCATTGTTTCAATGGGATTTTGGGTAATTGGTTCCAGCTCACCGAAAATTACATACAAACTAAAAGTAAATGCAGTAAAGTACACTTACTTTGAGGTGTGCATGTAGAAGGCTCCTGGTTGATGATGATGGGAATAAGAATGGGGGTGGAGGAGAAGGGAGAAGTGAAGGCATTGGGGTGGAAGAGAGTCACCCCATGCTTCATGCTGCCATTTCACCCATAAAATTTTAGTTCACTTGGTGTAATTCAAGATTATTTTCTTTAAATCAACACTGCACTGCATTATTTATTGTCAATATGTAAAATAAACTTCAGAATGACCAATAAATGTACTGTAAAAACGTAAAAATAGTTTATGTTCAAGAGTCTCAAGCAAGATGCTTCCTCCACTGAGCAGAGACACAAACTGACGCCATTCTGGGTGAGTCAAGTGGCTGTTTGGTGCGCTAAAAACTAGTTCCCTGTACTTCAATTACGTTAAATAATTGTTAAAATGACTAAAAATTTTAATATAAGACTTGGAAAATTATTGAATAGTACAAACTTCTTGATATTTACTCAAATGGTAACGAATTTAAGCCCTAAAACCGATTACTGTATTGGCGGACTAATACTACAGCTGGTGGGCACGCGAAAGCAGGCAAGAACATGTTGGGAAAAATTCGTAAGGAATTCGTTAACCGAATTTTTTCGTTAACCGATTTGAATATTCTTATGGAAGGTAATTCGTTAACCGAGGGATCACTGGATGCAGTATTCAGCGGTGACCTGTGGTGTAACGGTCAGCATGCTCGCCTCGCAAGCGAGCGGACCCATGTTCGATCCCAAGGCAGGGTGAAATTATGGGCACGTTTCTTTATGCCATTTGCCTCTGTGTACCCAGTAGTAATAGGGAACCTGGAATTTCGTCAATTTGCGGATCGTGTTCCGGAGTAATGGTTAGCCAGTGCAGTTGGCGAGCCATCCGGGCTTCTCGGACTATTCCTTGACACTGGGTCATGCAACCCGTTAACTCAGGGTGTGGTTGTTGTGTTGGCGACAGCAACTATGCCTTAAACAAATTCATGCCAAGGTGGCCCTAGGGCCGGTCATCCTCGTTATACGAGGGGCAACCATTAAAAAGATATATTCAGTACTGTATACAATAGATTTTTTTTTTAGATTGCCCCCGAGGGGGCTAGTTTATTGGGCACCCCCTTACATCCTGTGCAAGGTGAAGTGCAGAAGAGTTTACAGCGCCCATCGGGGAAGCATGCGGAGTTCATGCTTGCCTTTATGACTCATGCATTAAGGGCGTAAAAGCCTGAAGGGTCATGGGTTTTGTCACAAAGTTACATAAAGTGTGTGGGGGGAAAATTCCCAGTACAATTTATATGTTTATGGCAAAGTGTGGTAGGTCCCTAATAATGTCAAGTGCCAGGCCATAGACATTGACAATATTGAGGGACATACCTTTTAGTGTGAGTGTGATGGCATGTACGTCGGTAGTGTCGGCTTCAAGGGGGACGCCGAGAGGTTGGTAGGGGGACGTCCTTCTTGGCGTAGATACGTAGTCCACTAGCATGTCCGCATAGTGGTCAATTGATGTGGAGAACTGGAGTGGATGGGCCCTAGGTGCCGGCATGCTGGTGGGGAACAGGAAGCCGTGGGTGGTGTCCTCAGGTCTATGAGCGCGCGGTGGGTGGATGGGGGTAGCCGGGCACACCGGAGTAGACTCAGTGTGGACGCCAGCAGTGATGCCAGGCGGTGGTGGAGTAGGCCATGAGCATGAGGGGCACACAGGGGGCCTACCAGGATGTGTCAAACCAGAAGAGGGGGGTGACTGGGTGGCAGCTGGAGGCAGGGGTAGTCTGTGTAGGTTGGAGATGGCGGTACAGAGGGTATCAAAGAGTCTTTCAACACAGTTGGTAAATTCGTGTAAGAGGGATATGATCTGTGTCGTGTCACCGGAGGGGGATTGTGGGGGGGGCACCGGTGGGAGCACAAGGCCTGACAGCGTCAGAGTAGAGACGGGGAGGAGGCCCAGTAGTAGTTGAGTGAGGAGACAGCCGGGACTGCTGTGTTGCAGCCAGGTGAGGCCAGGCAGGGGCAGGTGTTGTTAAAGAAGGCGTTGCTGAAGACAGAGGGGACGCAGAGGGATGTGGCTCGGTAGGCTGGGGGGGAGGTTGAGGTTGACGCAGCCTTCAGGGAGGCTTTTCTCCTGGGACAGGCGGACGTTTGGGGCATTGTCGTGAGTCAGCATTGTGCCAGCCACCACAATTATAACACCTGGGGTCAACAACATAGCCCACACCAACCCCATTGAGGTGGTCTTTGATTTTTTGGGCACAGTCTGAGGAGTGGTGGTTACGTGAACAGAAGCGACATCTGGGACGATCACGTCGGCAGCAGGCGGTGAAGGTGTGACCCCAATGGGAGCAGATGACACGAAAAGCAGGCCCGGGGTGATATTGTTCTGCATACAGTGGAGGTAGGACTGGGTGGGACTCAACAGTGGTTGGGCACTCCCTCCCCTTCCATTTAACTATGACAGCTGCTTGTGGGGTCTTCCCTCGGTAGTGTTGACGTATACTGAGTATACGTGGATTAAAGTTACGAGCATCTTCGACCTCAGCGTATAGGGGGAACTGTTTAACTAGGATGTGGCAACATTCCGCTGCGTCAGCAGGTGGAGGCACGAGGACAACCCCGTCAAATCCAACAGTACTGAGTGTTTCATAGACCTTGGGTGTCTGACACTTGATAAAGTTACGGTTCTTACCTTTTCGGAATTGAATGGTGAGACCGTGTTGTCTCCAATACTCTGTTGTCCAATTAAACCGGTCCTCGACGGTTTTCAAAAAGTCCTTGGGGAAGTGCAGATGCAATTTACTTGGTTGGTTGGCAGAGGGGTGGGTGTCGAGGGGAGAATCGCTGCCCTTGGCGTTGCCACTCCGGCAAGTGTTTCCCATAGAAACATTACTGTCACCCTTGCAGGGTGTGGGATGCACTATGACTATCCGTCTCAGAAATGTCTGTATCCATGAGAGAGGGGACACCTCTTCTGGGGCGCTTACGTCGACCCCGCCCCCCATCGCTGGCAACACTTGCCAGCGAAGGGGTAGGTAGAGACTGAGGTGGCCTTTGTGTGACCCCTTACGTGGCCAGACCGCGACTGTGTATACAATACGAGGCGACAAACTTGATGCTATTAAAGTGTAACACCCTGGAGGATTCACTGTCCAATAGTGTCCTACATTCACACCTCAAAGGAGGACCAACCTCTCCTTCAGAAACAACTAGCTCTGGAGTCCATAACTTTTTACTTACTTTTATCCTCTTCACCAAATTATCGACTCGTTAGCCGCTTGGGCGATCGGTCACGTCTCTGTTACGCACTGTTGGCAAGTACTGGGCATGCATCGGCTCCCTCCGCACAATGACGGTTCCCTGCAGGTAGACAGGAGATTTTAGCTCATGAGAATTGTTATACTGTAATATATTTTTTTTAATTCCGTCTTTTGTTGGTTTAGTACATAAAAATACGGTTATTTCTTGCAAAGACTGACTGGTATTGCTCTCCCTGATGCTAGACCTACACCTTCTCCCTTGTGCTACAGAGAGAGAATATTATCTGCTATTTTTTTTCATTCAACTCATCGCAGAGATAAGGAAATTCCTGGTAGTCTGTCCATTCGACACTGATTATTTTTCCCTTCCCAGGCAAGTATTAGCCTGGGATACAGTGTGACAGACCTATCTCGAAAATGTCCCTTGCACTTCTCTTCCTGCAAACTGTGTAACAGTCCCACATCTAATACTCTCCAGTCTCGATTGTCTTATTATCAGGGTCCTCCTGCCTACTAATCTAGTATGTCACCATTAAACTAGTACCTGATAATTTAGATTTACTTTTGGTACGCTACCCACACTTTGGTGGTGCTGGTAAGGTTCTCTTGTTGTCCCCTAAGTTGTACCCGCAAGTTTCCTGCCATTTGGGAAAAAACTACTTGCTGACTAAATTATAATTTTTTTTGTAAACTTGCTGTACGTTATTATAGGCCCTAAAGCAAGGATTCCATTCCCGCGTTTGCAGTGCGTTTGCGTTTTCAATCGCTACAGGGTGCGATTGGTATGTACTGCAAACGCATAATGCTAACGCAACCGTGCCATTGGAAACAGCCGTGTACATTTCAATATGATCTATTTTTGGCACTAACGCTAACGAAACCACTAACGCGTGTTGTGACGGCACCGAGTGTGAGGTCTTTCAAGACAAGACTTGACCAACACTGGAGCGGGTTCAGGTACATTCAGGAGCCGGTGCATGCCCAGTACTTGCCAACAGTGTGTGACAGAGACGTGACCGATCGCCCGGGCGGCTAACGACCCGATCAGTGGCAAAGAGGATAAAAGTAAAGTAAAAAGTAAATGGAATCCTAGCTTAAATCTTCTGATGAGTTTGCCGCTGAAGTTGAATAGGGGATTTAGTTTAAATCTTCATACTGTATTTTCTTATATGAGGCTCTAATTTTAATACCGCATGACAGACAATACATTCACCCTGAATGTTGGGCTGCACAGTTTACCTAAACAATAAATTAAATAAAAAGACTTTTATAATATAATAGTTAATAATGGATATTACATTATTGTTTGACCAAACCAGAGACATATTACATACTTCCAATACAACTTTATAGGTAAAACCAAGCTTAAATATATAATAGAATATGATCAAGTAAAGTAAAGTAAAGTAAAGTAAAGTAAAGTAAAGTAAAGTAAAGTATATATTAGGTCACTTGGGCCGCCCGCATCCCTAGGCTCACTTGTTCTCTGTGTTGTTGTCTTGCCCCCAGCGATCGTCACCCCCTTTACACAGTGGCCCTCCACCAAAATGGTCAGTTACAGAAATTATCCTTGTATTTCTCGAACATCTTAAGTGAAAATGGTGGTATTGTGATATAATCCATTGTTTTAAAACGCATATAATATATTTAAATATAACTAGAAAAGGAAATAACTGTAGTAACTTAATAAGAGCATTATAAAGATATGTGAGTGGATTTGTTTATGTTTTGTAAGCTGCAGCATGGACTAGAGTGAGTGGGTTTTTAAGAGTTTGGTAAGATTCAAAACGTTTTTCGAGGGTTTTTGAACACTTTACGGTAACTATACAGGACTAACCAGCGAGCGAAATTGATTGAAAACAATTATTAAAACCACCAGATTTCCATTGTTATATTATGGTGGACACTGTTGTAGTTTGTAGAAATATGTTAAAAAATTTATATTTAACATTTGTGGGTATGAAGAACAGACCAAACCTACCTAACCTTATCTGACTTCCCCGGTATATTAAACAGAAACAACTTACTTTGATATGGTGAAATTTGAGGTAATTTTCTGAACGTAATTTTCAACTTTGATTTCGTATTGTGGCAACAAGTGAAAATTTACTGCACAATTTACGATGGGTAAAGATATGAGAAATCCTTGTGTCGACTTATTACAGTAAATTGAGGTTATTATTTAAATTTTGTACAACCATGGAATCCGGTATTTTTGACACATGAAACAGATATATCTCATCATTCTGATTACTTTCATTTTATACACTTCTGTTGCAAGTGAATAATGTATATATTTTTTTTTAGTTTTCACTGCAATCATAAATCACATGTGGCCAGAGCATGTAGGATGAGGAAAATTGCAGGGTAAAACATGGTGAAAACTATTCATATGAGACTAAAATGGTCTTTACACGCTTTGTTCGTGAAAAAATTAATTATTTACTGTAAATACTCCTTGAGGTTAATATTCATCCATTGGCTGTCTGCAGGTTCCCACCATGTTTACTTGAGGTTATACTTCTCACTTAAGATGTCAGTTGTCTCATCCTTATCTCCTCTTCCTTGTAGGTTAGGTTAGGTAGTTTGGTTGGTTCCTTTGGTGTGAGAAAAGTTATTTTTTGGGTATTATTTTACTTTCGGACATAACGCCCCCGAAAGTTATAAACTACCTTAACATTTAGCTCTCAGTATTCTGAGCATTTTGAATTCCATATATACTGTACATGGCAGAAAGGGATAATAGCGACACAATTGATTTTAAGTAGTTTTCAGTCTTCTTCCGTGAGATGATGATATCGGCGCATCACACATGCGGAATGTTGACACGTCATCCAGGGGTGTTGCTGGTAGAGCGGTAACGTGCTTAACTCTCACCAATGTGTAAAGGTTTCTGGCCTTGCCCTGGACCCACATGAGACGGGCGTTATCCAGTGTGACACTAACAAACACTACAGGTTTCCTGGTCCCCAGTTTCCACCTGTACTAACACTGGATAAACCGCCCAAACGGCTAGTAAGCTGATAAATGGCGAATATGGTAAAAAAATGAGGTGTCGATATCTTCACGCAAATTTTTTTCGACCAATCGTATTTGATTTTTTTTTTCAAAGGAAGCACCCTGGGTAATTTCATTGACCAGTCTCACAATGGCCATGGCGGAGGTTGGTTGTCATTTGCGCTCCTATGATTACATAAGAACATAAGAATGGAGGAAACTGCAGCGGGCCTATTGGCCCATACTGGGCAGTCCCGTTTACACCCAACCCCTATTGCTCATATAAGCATCCAACCTATGTTTGAAGCTATTCAGCGTATTCGAGTTAATGATGATATTTGGTAACTTGTTCCAGTCATCCACTACTGTTTCCAAACCAGTGTTTACCTATTTCCCGCCTAAATCTAAATGTCTAATTTAAAACCATTGTTACGAGTTCGCTCCTGGTTGGATAGTTTGAGTACCTTTGTAATGTCCCCTTTGTTTAGCCCTGCCTTCCACTTATACACCTCTATCAGGTCGCCCCTCGCTCTACATCTCTCGAGGGAGTGCAAGTTAAGATGCTTTAACCTGTCTCTATACTCAAGGTTCCTAATGCCCGGGATTAGTCTTGTCATTCTCCTCTGAATTCTTTCCAAGGATTCTATATCCATTCTGTAATACGGTGACCAGAACTGAACTGTGTAATCCAGGTGTGGTCTCACAAGAGCAAGATACAGTTTTAGGATGACCTCGCTAGTCTTGTAACTAACACTCCTTTGTATGAACCCAAGTACTTTATTAGCCTTGTTACGAGCAAAAACACATTGTTTACTTGGCTTAAGGTTCCTACTTATCATTACTCCTAAATCTCTCTCGCAGTCGGATTTCTCTATGGCATCGTTGTTCATCTGGTATCTGGTTTCCCTGTTTACATCTCCTATACTGAGTACTTTACATTTGTCCACGTTGAATTTCATCTGCCATTTTTCAGACCATTCGAAAAATTTGTTTAGATCTTCCTGTAGTTTTGCCGAGTCCTCGTCAGATTTAATAACACGTCCTATTTTAGTGTCATCAGCAAATTTACTTATGTTGCTGTCTATGCCGATATCTATGTCGTTTATGTATATAATAAATAATAATGGTCCAAGTACTGAGCCTTGGGGAACTCCACTTGTGACGTTGCTCCAATGGGACTTAGTGCCGTTAATGCTCACTCGCTGTTTCTTGTCCTGTAACCACGCCCTAATCCATTTAAGGATGTTATCTTTGATGCCATGAGCTTCTACCTTTCTAATTAGTCTTTCGTGGGGGACTCTGTTGAAGGCTTTGCTAAAGTCGAGATATACCACATCATAATTGTGCCCCTCGTCCAGCGATTCGAAAACTGATGAAAAGAACGTCCGCTTGTGAAGCCATGCTGGGAATCATTGATCAATCGGTGCTTCTCCAGGTGATTTCGAATAGAGTTTGAAATGATTGCTTCCAGTAATTTGCCTACTATTGATGTTAGACTGATTGGGCGGTAGTTAGAGGATAGTGATCTATCCCCCTTCTTGAAAATCGGTATTACATTCGCTATCCTCCAGGATTCTGGTACTACACCTGTTTTTAAGGACATGTTAAACAACTTTGCTAAGGGCATACTAAGCTCTTCCTTACATTCCTTTAATACTCTGGCAAATACCTCGTTAATTTTTCTACATATGTTCTTATCGTAAAACCTACTTCCAGTAACTTCAGAGCTGAGCCCCCCACAACCCCTGTCATATTAAATAGAAAGTTATATTTAAGAACATAAGAATGGAGGAAACTGCAGTGGGCCTATTGGACCATACTAGGCAGTCCCAGTTACACCCAACTCCTATCGGAAAAATATCGTTTTGGTCATCCACCTATTTGAAATGAAGGTCAGAATCGTTCAACCCATAAACCACCAGAAAAAAAATTTCAAATTATCCTTGCTGGATGGCCGAAATGATGATAATACCCTCCTATCACTCATATCCATCTCAACTACATTTGAAGCTATCCAGCATGTTTGAGCTCAATGTTGAAGTTTGGTAACTTTTTCCATTCATTCACTACTCGATTTCCAAAACAGTGTTTACCTATCTTGTGTAAATCTAAATTTGTCTAATTTGAAACCATTGTTATGCATTTGCTCCTGGTTGGATTGTTAAAGTACCTTTGTTTTATCACCTTTGTTTAGCCCTGACTTCCATTTATACACCTCAATCATATTGCCCCCCATTCTGCATCTCTTGAGGGAGTGTCCAGGATCTATGACTTATCTGACCCACTTTAAGTTTAATAACTTCAGCATTGTGCCGGTAGATAGAACACTGATTATTATTACTATACCTTGATTACTGGGTGTTGCTCAAGTATTCAAGGTCTTCGGGTGGATTACAGGTTGACAACCCTTTATCCGAAAACCGAAAAGCTCTGAAAACCGAACGTTTTTTGTGGAGCAAATTTTTTTTTATTTTTTTTTTAAACAGGGATTAGCCCACCCAGGCATAGATCACTGACCCACATCAGGGCCTGGGGGGCGAAAATGTAATAGTAATACTAATTATAATACTAATTATAATAATAATAATAATTATTCATAGTCAATAAAAAATTTAATTACAAAATACACCAAAATAAAATAATAACAATAATACTGTATAAATAAAATGATAATAATAATAATAAAGAAATACAAGAATGAAAAAAGATATAAAGTGAGAAACACAACCTAGACCTATGAATTATTATTATTACCTGTACAGTCGACCCTCACTTTACACGGTCCCACATTCCGTGTTTCCATGTTTACACGGTGCCCTGCCAGAACCCAGGATGCTCACATTCCGCGGTGGGTGTACCCCTTTACACGGGTGAAGTATAATTTTTTTTATTTAGCTCATAAAATTCATACAAATTATCCGGCCAGAATATAATTTACATTGCTGGAATTCTTACAATTTGATGATCATTTTGAATATAAACATCATAGATTTTGCATTAGACATACAAATTTTAGATATAATATTTACTCCGAGTAAATATGTTATCTTTTGTGCAAAATATATGACATTTGTATTCAAAATATTCCTGGTCTTACAAGGAATCCAGCAATGTCAATTATATTATCCTAACTTTAGTTTGAGGTATTATTTATTACTGTACCTGGTTTTCCCCCAAAAATTTCTCAGAGGGAAGAGCCAGTGAGTGTAGTGTGAGAAGAGGGGGAGGGAGTTGAGTCCATTATTTGAATGGACATTAACTTGGCGATTGTATTTCTCTATTTCTCTTAAGTATTAATTGTGTGCATGTACCATCATAAAATTAAGATGTTATTTTTACTAGAACATAGGTATTGTGTTGGAAAAAGTGGAGTTTGGGGGTCAGCTGGTCTCTATTTCATTTAATCCCATATGTTATGTTATTCACTTTACGCGTTTCTCGCTTTCCGCGGTACCCTGTGGGTTACATTAACCGCGTAAAGTGAGGGTTGACTATTATTATTATTACAGTATTATTATTATTATTATTATTATTATTATTATTATTATTATTA